CCTTGTCATGAACACCCACCACCTTGTCATGAACACCCACCACCTTGTCATGAACACCCACCACCTTGTCATGAACACCCACCACCTTGTCATGAACATCCACTACCTTGTGAGCCACCTTGTAATGAATGCCCAAAAGCAAATTGTCCAGAACAGATGGTTGCCGAAGCAGATGTAAGAGTAACTTTTTTTCTGATCTAATAACATATGTTTGAATTCTGAGAATTTTCTGCTATATTTTTATTAGGTGAGAGTTGATATTGGAGAGGGTAAGGGAAAGGGTAAGGGAAAGGGTAAAGGAAAGGGTAAGGGTAAAGGCAAGGGTAAAGGTAAGGGTAAAGGCAAATGCGAAAATTAGAAAATGGATAAAAGCGAAAATGGAAAACGTGACGAGAATACATTATACTCACAATATAAACTGATTGAACGAATGTTTAAAATAATTAATATTTATTAAATATAGTATACTAAGCTGTTTCTTATCTGTTATTACAATTAATCACGTAATTTGTTACTGATCCTATAATATGCATATAATGTTTTCTAAATGTATTTACGTGATTTTTCATACATCTATTCTAAAAAATCGCGTAATTACAAAATAAATAAAAGTAAAATATCGATAAAATTTCCCAGTTATACAAGTAATTTGACGATTATAAATTATATATTCCTTATTATTACTCAATCCTGAGGAGTTGTACAGTTAACCTTCCATAAGTACACTCCCTTATGAAGATAGGTGTGCATTTATGGAGGATTATAGAGAATATTTGATTAAAAGTTCTACTAGCTTGATATTGAGACATAACGTGCAATTTAGGAAAGGCATACATAGAACAGACAGTACGTGTATTATAATACATGTAGATATTCATGAGCTGTCGGGATTTTAGACACTGTAAGGCCATGCAAAATTAATTGTTTTTCATAACCCGACCGGGTCAAAATTTTAAATTTTGTAAAAAAATATTTTATACGTTTTAATAACCGGGTGGGTCTTTAAAAAATAAAAATTTTTTATATATGAAATTTTTTTTAAAAAAAAGCCGGCCGGTTCTGATTAAAAAATTTTCATACTATGAAAACCAAGAAATTAAATTTGTGTGGCCTACATGGCATAAGATGATAGTGAGTTAGACATATTCTTTGATTCTTAAGCAATGAGTCAGTCATATTTTGATTTGTGTTTTAAATAATATATAGGAAGCAAACAAGAGAACCAATCTAGCACATCATTAATTTTTAGAATAAACAACGGTATTAATAAGAGGCTTATTAATACTTAATTGACTATCTGTCGAATTTTTTCGTTTCTTTCGTAATTCTAAACTATCTTAGGGTTGATAAAGAAATTACTTAACTACTTTCAGTAGAACAGCCTTAAACGAGATCCTTGGATAAATTTTGAGATTACGTTGACTCGGTATTACTCGTACAGTAATTTCACAACTTTTATGGTGCAACAAGATCTAAAGTTATACGAGCTTTATTGGATACTCATGATATTAATCAAAATTAGCAATTGAATCCTGTCAATTTGTAGTTAAATCGAGCTCTAATATAATCGGATTAACAGTTTGCGAGTTAGAATATAATAATTTATATGTAGTAACCTACGGATAAAAAAAAATAAAAAAATTACCGAAATGCATAAAGTGCACGGTTGTAAAATACAAATAGATTGTCTAAAACTTTAAACTTTGTTATTAAGCTGCGATCTGCAATTCATTCTATCACTGTTCTGTTTCAATTGCTGATTTATGAGGTTATTTTGTTTATATTTGCAATCTGATCATTTGTATTCCACAGATGTCATTTAAACATGCATCATCAATTATGGTTAAAAAAAAAAACTCCATCGAATTAAACAATTATGGTTAAAAAAAACTCCAACGAATTAAATAATCATTAAATTAACTGACTTAATATCGATATATCTGGTTAAGTTTAGGAAAAACCAAGGTGCATATAATAAATATAAAGTTAGAGGTGTAATCTTAATTGATCTATAGATTATTGGTAACCTGGTCCATGTAACATAACATAAGTTTTGTCCTTATATAAAAGTGCGTATATTTGCTTATTTAAAAAACACTATTCTTATTTACAAAATGAAATACTTCGGAACAGTTCTTGTAGCTGTCGTGTATGTGTTCGATAATTGTACTATTATATACCTAGTTAGGATATGAAATAAAATTTTCTCAAGTCTAAAGAAAGAAATTCTCTGAATTATTTATAAAGCAACTCGCTTCAGAATATTTTGAGTTCCACCTGTTCCACATTATTCGAACTGACTATGCGCCCCCTAACATTCTTTCTTTATGTGTTTGTGTTCTTGACATATTTCCTTTCTATAAGTTATTGTCAAGAATCACCTATATCTTTAAAAAATTTAACTGAATCCGCTGGTTATAACAATTCGGATGATTGTGATGACGACTCGTATAATGCGGAACTTGCAAAAGAAATTGGCGTTTCAACTATGCGTGCATCCTATGTGATCGGTCTAACACTACTACAAATTGATGCTTGTTGCATAATATATGTCATTTATCGTACATTTGTTCGTTGGAGAATGGCTAAACGTCGTTTATCTATGGCCTATAAACTACCTTTCTATATGGCATGCTTTGGTAATTATAATCGTATAAATTTTTTTCTTATCAACCAAGAATTTGATAAATACGTATTTGTCCCCAATAGATTTCATCATCTATGCCTTTCAAAGCGTCAACTTGGTAAGTAAATACTTGAGATTATAATTCAAAATCTAAACATACCATCGTTAACTTTCATATTTTATATTCAAATTAGGTTCATCCTCTTTTATTTATTAATAATTGGCCTAGCCCGGGATGCTCGATAATCGCTGGAGGATTCTTTTTCGGTTCGGTATTAAGTATCAGTTTTATTGGCGTATCATCATTAATGAGCTGGCTCATAGGTAACCTGGATCAAAATAGCCGCTTAATTCTTTGATAAATAAATTCATCATTGATGTTTTTTTTTCATTTTCAACAGTATGCAAAAAAATACAGTTTGATTTAGGTGCATATGATTATAAATTACTTATTTGGCCATTCGGGATCTCTACGGTTTTAACAGCTATGTCTGCTCATACATTTGGAAGCGATCAATTTTGGTACATAAGTACGTGAATTGTCATTTATCTACGAACATGAAACTAATCATGATTTTCAAACTTTTATAGGTGTTATACTCCTGATAAATTTATCATAGTTCCAATTTGTATAATAACCGCTGATTTTTTGATTCTTTCAATCTCTTCGTATTGCTATATAAGCATTTTAAACGAAATCTCATACAATAACAATAACTTCGAAGGACAGTTCTCCAATGCATCACGAAAAATCATAAGTTACCTCCTTATTTACATAATTCAATGGGTACCTCTTATGGTATATTTGATTTTAGATTTGGCATCTGTAAGTCTGAAATTTATCTATCCAATGTGCAAAAATTACACCCAGCTTTTGTTATTCATTTTAATTTTATTTATTAGCATGAAGGATTATGGATATACTTCTTTACAGTCGGATCTATCTCTATGGGGGGTATTCTCAATGCAGGACGGTACATTTTCAACGAAGGATGGTATGATAAACCAAACTCGTTCGTTGATATTTCTTCGGGCGAAATTAATTCTCCTAAATCTATCAAAAGTGATGAAATTATGAACATGAATCGAAATTGGAATTGTTCTTTAAAAATTCCGACTAATAGTCTAAACTCTGAAGATACTAAAACTTTGGAGGAATCACAAACTGTATGTAACATGGCATGATAGAACCTGTGCGTGAATGTTGAATACTTGATTATGAAAATATGTATTCGTATGCAATTTATCTGTATGTATATCTTTAAGCAAATTTCTATGATAAGTGATTTTCTATCATTCGCGTCGGGTTTATCAACACGTATCAATTTACAATATATGCCTACAATTAAATAAGTGCATAATAAATTCTGTTCAAGCTTAAGGAGATACCTTACTAAGTTCTGTGTATAAATTATGTGCAATACCTACCATATATACTTATATCATAAAATTGTAGACCTATATATATTGTGTGTATATATTACTACATTCAACATAAAGCACATATAGCATAGCGTTTTATCACCTATTATATATACATTTTACTACAGTCAACCCGTAAAAATACGGGTATATAGTAAATTAGTACGGTACGGAAACGCAAATTGGGACGGACATGTGGAAATTATGATAGTACGTACGGTTTGTAAAAGAAACAATTCTTCCAAAGCAAAGCTAGTTTTCCTATAACCTCACACGAAAAAGAACTTGCCCTAACCCTAAACATTAAAAAAGGGTTTACTTGAGGATGTGACGAATCATCAGTGTGGTGAGTAAGCACTAGCTAAAGAATTATATTAAATAATGCTTATTAGCAACACCCAATGATTCGTCACATCCTCGTGCCAAATGGATAATGGACTTATAAAATTATCAAAATTTTTTGCTCAATTTTCGCACGTCCGTACATATTTGTATAATCGTACAGTACTACTTTACTAACTACCTCAAAAATCCTGCTGATGAATCATCGATATTGGTCCTAATAACGATAAAGGAAAATGGTAATTACGTACGTACTGTTCTTGAAAATGAACCCAAAATACATACTTTTATTGCTAAAAATATGGTAAGGGAAATCGGCCTTAGGGTTCTTTTTAGTTCCTTATTAGGAACGGTATACATCTGCAGGAATCGGCGTTTAGGGAGGTTGCAGTTAGAAAATAGCCAATAGTTATCCACATATTTTGGCACCTCTAATATACTATAAAAATATGCATGTTTTATATGTTGTGATCTGTTTTAAAAATCCAATTTTTAAAAAATTCAAATAGAAATTTTTGTTAAGGTAGATATGCAGTTAAAAATTATGGTCTTCTATATCAGGAAGTTTCGAGGGTGTTAACTAACAGGTATGACGCAAACTCTATATAGTTTAACACTTTATTAATCAAATTGGTGTAAACAATAGAGGTGTGATTAATAGCTATTGGTCATCTCATTAAGCATGATACACCAACTTGATACATTTGAATTAAAATATAATTACACAAAATTTTACATA